TTTAGCACAAACGCTAGCAGCACTCTCGGTGACAGATAACCGTGGGGAGAGATAGTCCCAAAATTAGGACTGCAGAAGTTGGTCACCTGTCTATACCAGGTTTTGTAAACAACAGAGGAAGACAGGAGGAAGACAAAATTTAATCTCAGTGAAGTTAATCAAACACTTATTAATGAACACTTAAAAAATGAAGACTTGCATAGAGTTGTATAATTGAAATAGAAATGTATGCCATAAAAAGTTAAACAATCATTCTTCCTTCACGCTTCCCCCCCACACCATCTAGCTTTTTCTTAAGGAATCTTAATTTTTTTTTTCTCTGAAGCCCTGTCAGGTATACATATTTATAAGACATCCAAAAAACCTGTGATTCTTTGATTAATGTTTCCAGGACCAGAAAGGAAATAATACAGCCAGCTCACACCAAAAAAAAAATGAAAAAGGAAAAAAAATTGTTACCTGTTTTTATCAGTGTAATATCTCTGTAACATTTGATGTGTATCTGCACTAAAGGTAGGTGTAGAACATCACCCTGAAGGTATCTCTTGCTGTCAGTGGATCATGAATGTCAGCCTTGACAGGTGTCCTCTGGTGTTGTTATAAAGCATATGTGGCTTATTTTAAGCAAAGCTGTCCATACTTTTTTCTTGTCTTGTTGGAATATTCTTACTTTCTCCCTAGTGTTTGTCACTTTTTTGTCATCCTTGAGCTGAGAAATATCTTGTAAAATCTTGTGATGTGGTTTTAATTGTTTTTCCTCTTGCTAACTTCTAAAAGCCATTATATTTGCCTTAAAAGATACATTATACTTTTACTGATACTGTAGAAGAAATTACTTTTTGTGTGTGTGATATGTTTCATAAATTCCAGTTACTGCAAACTTTGCACTTTGGGTGCTGTGTATCTTCTATACTTTTAAGCCCCAAAAACTGCCCGTGACTTGTTCTGTGACTTTCTATGGAACTATTTAATTGCCACGCTTCAGTTCTTGTAGGGTCCAAGTCCAGCTCTCTTTTCAAAAGCTGGCTGGTAGGGATGCTTGCCAGCACTTGGGGATCCCTGAGAGGGAGAGAAGGAGCTGGTATTTTTGCTTGCTTCTGTCTGCCAGCTTCCCGTCTCCCATACAAAACAAGCAACTAACATGCTATTGATGATGTGTTGAGGGGAAAAAAAATCAGATAAAAAAATTGAAGAGTCCACTAAATGGATTCTGTTGATGTTTTGCAATTCAACAAATAAATAATGCCAGTAAAACTTGCACTGTCATTTATTCATATGTGCATTCACTTGGCCGTGGAAGTGTCTTGTCTAAGTAGTTATGCTATGTCGTGCCAAAATCTTCCATACAAAAAAATGAATGAAAGTGTTCATGTTAGCTGTGTTTTGCATTTGACTGGATTTTTTTATTTTATGGGACAGCTTCTCTCATATAATTGTATGTGAATATATCAACAGTTATGACAGAATTGTCCATAAAGTGTGGGGGTAGTAATACGGAAGATGAAGCAATCCAAAGGCAAACAAGTTCATCATACTATGGCAGCATCCTTTTTTTAAGAGAAGTCCCATGCGGTGTAATAGAGAATTAGAACATTTTTCATTATGCTAATCCTACATTTGACTGAGATAGGCATCAGCAAGAAGTGAACACCAAAAAAGTCTCTGAAATATAGGTCAAAACTTACGAGAACTTGAATAAGCAAAAGTGAGGAAAAGGATTTGGAATCACCAAAGTATTAAAAAATAGGGGCGGAAATAGTTTATCTGTTCATGTTATGAACGATCCCCTATTTCATTGGAAAGAAGGGAGGACATAGAGTATAGAGAAAATAGTTTGACATACTTAAGGGGTGGGGGGCTTCCAGGCCGTGCTGTAAAAGTGAAGTTTGAAGGCAGTCTGTCGCCTCAACCCTGCCATCAGTGGGGTTAAATCAGGAGGACTTTTGTTGTTGGCTGTTGCAGAGATCCACTCTGAAGTAGAAGCAAAGAGCGACTGGGTGTCTTTCTGTAGTAAGTGGTGCTTCTTTAGCAGCCAGGACCTGACTTACTCTGTGTCTTGGATCTCCTAAATGCTTGTTCAGCTCACAGGGGAACGACCCATCTTGCTAAAAAACCTCTTCATAGTAGAAATGCTGCTTCAGAGTGACGACTAGGGGAGAATGGGTCACAACTTAAGAAAACAATACCTAGCCTTCACACAAAGAAAATAAAAATTATTTGTGAGCTGGGTGGTAGTAGAGAGACCTAATGTACTGATAGGCCCTTTGGGATTTGCAAGGTGACCGGTGGCGAGGGTCTGTGCTGCCTTGCTCAGCACAGAGCACAGGCAGGGCCTCAGGGGTGAGGGAGAACACATGTAAAATACACTGTGGGATCACGTCAGTCCTGTGAAGTTTTCTCGTGCTCACCTTTCCAAGGGCAGCAGGCAGTGAGGTGCCAGCTAAAGGCGATGCTGTCGTTGAAATAGTGCTGAGACTTCAGCTGAGCTTTGTAAAGCAGGACCATGGAGCACTCTTCAAACATCTGTTTAGTTTCACGCTAACAAGGTAGAAGGCTACCAGTAATACTCATCTTACTTAGGACTGACTGTAGGCAGAAACCATAGGATTAGCTCACCTAGATAAGTCAGTGGTAAGGGCTGGAGTAGCTGACTCCCCGTTGTACTTGTAGGACATTTACCGTGCTCAGAAGTAGACCACATACTTTATTGACTACGGTAATAGGCAGATCTCTGTCATTTAACAAACACTGAGACTTAACGAATCTCTAATACCCGCAGGAGCTGAAGTTCCTGCTTGAACAGTAACTCAGCTCCTTTGTTGATTTGCGTCTGAAAATACCCCAAACAAAAGAAACGGTGCTTCAGCACTTTAGGAGGAGAGACAGATGGGGAGCACGGTGCAGTGTGGTACATGGCAGACGTCACTGTGGGACAGAAACAATGTCAAACTTGCATTTCATGATACTGGATTGCAGCTTGATTTTCCACACTTTAACGTTCTTGTAAAGTCAAAGTTGTTTGTTTCTGTGTAGTTGGATCCACTTTGCAAATCACGGACAAATATGTAGGTGAAATGGTGCATGATTATGTGCCACATAATACTTCCTGAAAAGGCAGGAGTTGGTTACAGAAAATGAACAGAGGAGCAGGTGCTGTGGAATCAAATTTTAAATGGGGTTCCGGTAGAAGAAGTGTGATGGGGACAGCAAAGCATGGAGCTTAATGGCAAGCTGCTATGAAGTTACAGGGCATCCTTAACTGCTGGGGGCCGGGTGCTGCTGACGAGCAGGGAGGAACTAACAAAATCTAAATACGCATCCAGGAGAATGCCACTTTAAAATGTAGGTTAAAATTTCTGAACCTGCTTCCTTCATGGTTCAGATTTTTCCTCCAGCAAGCAGTGTCTAAAGGTCCTTCAGCTTTCTCTTCTGTTGGAGACTGCCGGGGAAGCGGCTGCTTACACATATTTCTGGTGCAAACAAGGGCATAGTCCCAAAATGCCAGCGAGTTAACCAACAAGAAACACAATGGAAGAGATCAGCTAAAAGCAGAATTAGTGGTTGCTAAATGGGTGGGGTATGTAGGAATGTGACCGGAGCTGTATGGGCTGTAGCTGCTGAGTGAGAAGGTTCTGGTGGGGCATTCACCCTGACAGTGGCACCAGGGCTTGGGCAACCAGTGTGTAAGTGCAAGTGTCACAGCTCTCTCTTCTGCAGCTGTAGGCTGAAAACTTTAGTACTGTAGCAGGCATCCTGCAGAAAGCAGCATCCTAAAATGGGATGTGGCCTTGCAGTTAAAAGGCTCGACCTCTTTTCATGCCCCTCTCCTGAGAGTCAACAACAGAGCTTCTGCTAGCTTCACCTGCAGCACCAGGACTTAGCCCAGCTTCTTTATCTTGCTGGCAAGAAGTGCCTCTGAAACGTCATCAATTTTTGTCAGTTTTTTAAAGAGCTAGCTGCCTAACCACTCTCCAGTTTCAGTTTGATGTTTGTGTTGTGTTCTTGGAAAGCCAGCCATGCTTCTGTCAGGATTATCCATTGACATTACACAGTGTAAACAGAAGGCTACCAGGAACTGGACTGTGTGCCGGCAGTGCTTGCTTTGTGTGGGCTTCAATACTTGGATGTGATGTGCTGGTTTTATTTATTTATCTATTTATTTGCCACTTACTTGGGTAGCAGATCTTTAAACCATCCCTTAAATTGGTAGTTAGCATGCATTAAGCATTTATTTTTACTGAGACGTCATTCTGAGGTATTCTTTAGATGAGGGGACACACACAAGGTAGGTGTGTAAGTATTACTTAGCTTCTGCATGCGCTTGGTTCAGCGGATGGTTTGTTTTGTTTGCTGCGCAAGGGCTCTTGTGGATGAGCACTTTGGAGTAACTACTTCTGGTTGTTTGTTTCAAATTCATGTATTAAAATTCATTTCTCTTAAACAGGGATTCAGATTTCCCTATTGTACCTTTTAATGGCACTTGGGAAATCCTAGCTCATAGTGTCATGCGGTTCTTCATCAGCATTGCTATATGTAAGCACATGATTAACAGATCAGTGGCTAGCGATATGTTCCACTGCTAAAAAGAGGGATATCCTGACATTTTCAGTGGCAAAATATGAAAAACTACAGTGGACACAGGTGTGGAAGAGCTGTGGAGTCTCTCATTCACTTGACCGGTGAAGTGTGAGGACTTTTCTGCTGTCCTTCAGACAGGAGCACATTTGAGAACTGGACTGGCTAGTGTCCTTATTTTGTGCTATTAAATTGTATACTGCCAGTTAATCTGGGCATTAGGTGGAAATGTTAAGATTGGAAAAGATACTCTATGCTGTTGTTGATAATTGGAATAAAACTCTATTACCTTTCCAGAAAACTTCTGAGAGTCTTGCATTAGTGCCCCATGTATTTGCCACTGGTTTAAGCATCTATGTGACAGTCACCTGTGCTTAAGGGTTTGTTGTGAACTCACAACTCTTTTTGCATGACAGGTCACAGTAATGAAAGGCAGTAGTAGGAATAAGGATCATTCGACAGAAGGAGAAGGAACTGGGAAGCGACCAAAAAGAAAGTGTCTTCAGTGGCATCCCCTGCTTGCCAAGAAGCTCCTTGACTTCTCTGAAGAGGAAGAGGAAGAAGAAGAAGAGGAGGATATTGATAAGGTAGACTTCATTGGATGGTTTGACTGTAGAAGGTTAATGGTGGGTCAGATTCTTCCTAGCTGTGTTTTTGTTTTGTTTGCTTCTTGCTGGTCTCTTTTGTGAACAAACTCAGCCAATTAAAAGAAGTGATGCTCTGCCCATAAGCCTATGAAGGTAAATAGTAAATAACACAAAAAAAGCGAGTTGTCAACCGCAGTTTTAAAATCTTGGATGAAACTCTGGTTTTTAGAGTTAAACTGTAAGAGTTTAAACAAGGTTGTTTTGATAACATTACACATGTTGGTCTTGATTGCTCAAGGTGGGATTTTGACATGGGTTTTTTAGTTGTTCTTTTAGACATGAAGTTAACCTGTGATTAACAGCTGCTTCTGGTGGCTTTGAGGACATACCAAGATAATACTTTTATTTTTTAAAAAATTTAAAAAATACAAAGATTAAAGAGAAAAAGAAGAAGAAGTCTGTCAACAATTTTTACTATCTTTGTATGTGAAATTCAACTTATCCTCCAGAATACTGAGAGTGGAATAATCTCTTTCTTGTTTGACGCTTAGTATTTTGGTATTGTTCAGTGATGCTGGGCTTGCCCTTTTTCATAAGGATCCTACAGTATAGCACCTCACAAATGTACAGTTAGACTCATCCTCTGTAACAAAAAAGGGGAATGGGAGGTGATGGGGTTTGAAGATGTGATGTTTCCATCATGTGGATAATGTTCATAACTGCATCTCCTTGATGCTTTGCTAAGGCAGGAAGGAAGAGGTCAGTGCTGAGGAGACTGCCTTGAACCACATAATGATAAGGAAGGGTGACCTTGACAAGAATGAGGAGCAACAAGGAGGAACCTGATGCTCTGACAGTGCTTTCTATTGACCTTACAGGTCACTTGCTGCAGTATGGCATAAAACAGCTGTGTTGCGGTGTCTACCACAACTGCTAGATAGCAGGGCTCTATCACACATAATGGTTTCTTGGGAAGACAGATGCCATAACTGCAAACGTCACCCCACCCCTTCCTTCTTCTTTGTCCCAGCTTTATGTACTGAGCGTGACGTCATATGTTATGGAATATCTGTTTGGCCAGCCTGGGTCAGCTGTCCTGGCTGTGTCCCCTCCCAGCTTCCCATGCACCCCCAGCCTTCTTGCTAGCAGGCCAGCACGAGAAGCTGGACTGTCCTTGACTACTTAGCAACAAGCCAAAACATCAGCACGTTCTCAACACTGCCTCATCCCAAATCCATAACACAGCCCCACACCAGCATCTGTGAAGAAAACTAACTCTATGCCAGCTGAAACCAGGACATGCAGTTAGGTAGGAGATGGTTTTCTGTCTTGTACAGTAATAGGTTGCATTCAGTCAGAACTAGTCTTCTGGGGTATGTCCCTTGCAGGAACAATAAGACTGGTCTGTGAGCATAGAGAGTACATTTTGGCAGTGTATTCTGTTGAGATTTGCCCTCTGGCTCTGACTGGGCAGCTGTGCAGTGGCTTCACTGCAGCACAGCTCACAGGCTGAGTAATGAATGGCAGGAGTTAGGGGAACAACTGTTACCAATGCACGTCCCTTCCTATGCATTTTGTAGTTGCAAACATGAGTGATTGTGGTCCAAGGTAGCTCTGCTGACCTCATCCCACTGAGACGATTTCTAGGTTGTAGGAAGGATGTAGGAAGGATCTCCTCCCTCCAGCCCTTTTAGGACTCTTACTAGAGAATGGTCCTCAGCTTAGAAATCTGTTCCACTTCAAAGTCAGAGTTTACATCTTGCACATCAGTGAACCTTGGACTGTCAGGTGAGGAGGTTTGATGTAGAACTCCAAGTCTTCTAGATGGAACAGTTGGCCTTTGGAGGCAGCTGTGTGTATCTGTGTGCATCTCCCTTGTTCACACAGCATGCATAGGCTCTCAGTCTCCATGAGAAGCCTGGATAACTGAGTTTACATACCTTCCCTTTTGGTTCTGCTAGGTGCCACTCCTTGGCGCTGACGGGTTAGAGCAGGATGCTGATGAAACTGAAGATGACGAGTCCTCAGAGCAACGAGCCCGCCGACCAATGAATGCATTTCTTTTGTTCTGCAAACGCCATCGCTCTCTCGTGCGAAAAGAACACCCTCGCCTCGATAATCGTGGCGCAACCAAAATCTTGGCAGATTGGTGGGCTGTTCTAGATCCAAAAGAAAAGCAGAAATACACTGACATGGCCAAGGAGGTATGTTCTGTCTGAATGAGGGGTGTAAAGGGAGTTCATTACGTATTTGTCTGTCTTCTGTTTCTCTGTGGGGTCTTTTTTTCTGTGAGTTCCTCAGCTTCTGCAGTAGGATTATGGTTCCCAGAGCAGCTGCTGTTCTTGCTTTGATTCCCTTGGTCCTTTGGAGCAGAATGAAAAGAAATTGGTCTGTGTATGCAAACTAACTTGGCTCTAGTAGTCATTGGTACATTGGTACAAATATATGCACTTTTTGATAGGTATCACCTGATGATTCCCCCCACATGCATTAACATGTGGATAGTGTGTGGATAGTGGCCATTAAAAACAAAAACATGGAGTTCAGTGTCAGCTGACTAGTGGTACTTAGCTCAAACTGTGTATTTGCTATTGGTAATTCTGGTTGCTATTATAATACAGGTGGATCAAGCCAAAAGCATGGTCAACAAATGTAGTCCCTCTTTACCTTTCATGCTAAAGAATTTAAAAATTATTTAGTGTTTCATCAAGTACTCTCCCTATGTATTGTTAACCAGTTTCTGCTGGAGCAACCTTTGGTGAGACAGAGTCTAATACCCAAATCAGAGCGCAATACATAATCAGAGTCCTTTAACTGGGAGCAAGGAAAGGAGATTTATCCCCATATTTCACAAAGTATCTTTGCATTAACTTAAAATCTAAACGAGGCTTTTTAAGCAATAGCTTGCTTGGTAAGCTGGCCCCGAGGAGGCTGCAGGTTATCGATAGTGGAGTGAGAGAGACACAGCCAGTTACTTAGGCTGATAATATCACCCCAAAACAGATCCCTGTAATTACCTGTGTGATGTAGATTTGCAGGTAACCATTTAATTCAATCTGAGGGAAAACAATAGAGGGACAGTGAGGAGGAAGAAAATCTCTCTCATTTGTCGAGTAATGCTAGTGCACTACAAGTACAGATAGCTGTGAAATGACTGGGGAAGCTATTATCTGTACCTGCCCTGTCACCCGAAGTTGTGTGCTAGTGTTAACACAGATGTATATGGTCTGGCTGTTCAGTGGTTTGTGTAAGCATGGAAAGGTCCACAGGAAAAACAAAGTGTTCTGCATGGCAGGTCCTTTCTGAAGCAGGGTCTGTGGTACTTCTGTAGTTCCCCATCTGTGACACAGTGTTGAAATACTTGAGTCTCAGCTTTGTCCAGCCGTTCCTGATTTGTTCTGCATTCCCACTATAAATTAGCAATGCTGCTTGAAATGTATGGGAAAAGGGCTATTAGGAGGTCCAGTACAGATACAAAGGAAGGAAAGATGAAAATGAAGAAATAATTTTTGGAAGAAATAAACCTGATGTGACTGTTTTTCTTAGCCTTTTGTCTTGCTGAAGGAAACTCATTCATTAAGAAGGAAAATAATTGCAGAACTTCTGGAAGAAGTGACAGATCTGAAACTATTAATCATATTGTTACAGAAATCATTGTTCCTGTAGTGATTTATTTATTTTTCTTGGCATGAAGAACAAATTGCATATTCAACGTCAAAGCAAAACAATAAATCTAAGTAGTTTACATCATTACAACTAGTCCCAAGTATGTGTAGAAGAGAGATAATGTATAATTTTTATTCTTTAAACAATTGTATGTTACAATGATAATTAGCAGCTATAATGTGCTATTGAATATATTTGGGCCCTCTTCACCAACAGACCTATTCTGTGTGTGGATCGGTTGTTTTGTTTTAGCACTCGCTTTTGTAGTTAGGCTTACTGCTGAGACTGTCAAAAAGATGTTAATGTCAACTCTAGTGCGAACCATTTATTGATGTGTGGGTTTTTTTTCCTAAGGAGAGCTCATTTAAAAGTCAAGAAGGTGAACGCCTTTGGAGGGACATAAAATTACCATTGTGCCAATAATCTTCTGTTTGAGTACCTGTACGTATAAACTCATCAAGGTTTAAAATACAGTGGATGAGCTTCTGTTACTTAAATGTAGCTTTTCAGTGCCCTTTGACTTCCAGTTTTCACCGCATAGCCTCTGGCTGCTACCCTGGCGGGGCACACACCTCCCAAAGAACCCTGTGTCATATCTGCTACCCCCACAACATGTCTTGTGCACCCTGAGCATCTGAATCACTCTTCTAGAGATACAAATGGGCCTGACAGAAGTGGTCTCTACTGCAGTGGCTACAACCCCTGCTGTTTTGCAGTCTTGAGAATGTTTTTACTACTTGAAGACAGCATTTACAAAACCTCTTGGCTCAGATCAAGCTTGAAGCCCATTTCAGTTTCTCAACCGCTTAGTACCAGCAACTGATACTACCTCAGCAGCATGCAAATCTAGGCATTGGCGTATTTACTTACATGTATCTAGCTATATGCAAGGTATAGGATTTTGGAAGACAGTGAGGCACCCAAACATTTTGCGAAGTGGCATTATGAGTTTCTGTTGGGTTGGACATCTATCTGTGATCCCCACTGAGAGGATAATCGGGTCTGTGGTTCATTTAGGCACTTTTGGAAAATCCTATTGTGTACCTTTCTGTACCTTGGGGTACTTTAATTTCCTAGAAAAACTGTCCCCATGATCTCTCTGTTTTCAGTCTTGTGGTTTATGGTCTCCTGTAGCAACACCTGCCCCAGAGACCTCATGCTGTGTCAGCTTTTGCTGGTGTTTTCTTTAGGAGCAGGCTTTCTATTTGTATCCTACAGGTTTTGTAGATCAACTTAAGTTCGAAAGTTTCATTCTAGAGGATTTAAGCTCAGTAGCTGATAAATACTCCCAAGTGGAACCACAAGTGTTCCTGCTGTTAGTTAGCTTTTCCCTTCACTGAGGGGAACGTGAGTTCTGGCCACTGATAAATATGCTCCCGTGTTTTTAGTTACTACAATAATAGGGGTAGTGTTCTTCTGTTAGCTCTTACAGAGCTTGCTGGGAATATTCAGCTGCCTTGGAAAATATCCAGTGAGATTATTATTGTTCAAGCCCTTCTTCCCTTGCTATAAAACACTTCGGCTTCTAATAGGTTTTTTTAATAGGCAAGATCCAGACAATCAGGATTGATTCTTGCAGGGAGCAGCCTGATAAACCTGGGCTGCTGCCGTTCAGTGGCAGAGCTGAACACTTCTCCCCGTGACTGCTCGGCCAGTGGTTTCGCAGGTACAGGCAGCCTGACTGGGAGCTTGCTGTCCCTGCCGTGCCACTGCTTTGGCAGCCCCATCGGGGTAGGAGAGGACAAATGTTCTGGCTTCCCAGCTGGAGTCTGGCAGGTTCACTGAGTGACGTATGGACGGTAACGTGTAATGTGAACCCTGCGTCCCTCAGGAGTGAAAACCGGAGCGTAGTATTTTCTGGGGATTTTTTTGTTGCTGTTGTTAAATCTCCAGGATTCATGTGACATTTAATAGCCAGTTGGTGGGATTTAAGCATACGTTTAAAGCTAAGCACGTGCTAACTGCTACCCTGAGATGTGGCTGGAATCCACTTGTGAGCTCCTGTTCACCCCGCGCTGGAAAAAGCAAATCTTTTTTTATTTGGTGATGAAAGTAACTCAGGGAGCTGCACTGAGGCAAGCGCCTTTTTTAACCTTGGCTCTGAAGTGGCACCAGTCCCACCGCAGAATGCATCCTTCCCCAGGCTTTCACAAAACAGAAATGATACATCAGACTGATCCCACAAACATCTCCTGAGCTTTTTTTATCTTACCTGGAACTTTAGGATATGACCCTGCCAGGCCATCTCTGCCACTCACATGTGGGAACCAAGGTGGTATCTTTGCATTACAGGTTAAGGACTTAGCCTCTTAACCTTTTTTTTTTTTCCCCCCCAAGTGACTTTAGAGACATCCTTAGACTGGTTGTGTTAAGCTGGTTTACTGCACAGTTGGTTGAATGGAGGAAACCAGTAAGCTCCACTATTGCCCTTGGCATTTTCTCATTACTGTGTAGCTTATTTAAGTTATCTTCTTATGACCTGGCAAGCAGAATCTATCATTTCACTTTAGGCCTTGGTCTAGTAGTCACAAAAATCAATACTGAAAGTCTTTCTGAGATTTGTATCAGACCCCTGTATGCATTTTAAAAAACTACTTCTTGGCCCTTGTTGAACTTCTTACATTTTCTTTTTTATCTTGAGTGTTGAGACTGTGAAAGGGGCTGATGAGTTGTCCTCCCTCAGTTTGCTCCCTCCCCTTCAGAGAGTGCAGTTAATGTTCACTTCTTGGCTTTGCAGAGGAAAAAATCCATTAATACACCACCTCACTTGAATTGCTCTTGTTGGAAACTGATTAAAAGCTTACTGCTGCCTGACTCGCAAATGGCATACGTTCGGTTCTCATTTGATGGGCAGCTTGTCTGCTTGTCAAATTACTCCACAGAATAATTCAATTACTCAAAGCAGCAGTGCTGATACGAAGAGCTTATGTACCTCACTGCTAGTGATTCTGTGCTTTTTACTCTGCAGGCAGGAAACATGATCTGTGAGTGGGCTGTGGCTTTAACAATGGAAGGCAAAGCTGCTTCTCTCTGTATTTCCTTTCTGCCTCTTCCCTTACCCCCTCCCCTTCCCTTCCCTCCACCAGGCTGTTTTTGTGGTGTACTGAGCTCCCAAACCAAACCAAGGGACAGGGAAAATGGGCGAGGTGAGAAGTGTCGCAGTCCTTAGTTTGCAGATTTAATATATATACCCTATTCAGAAAATACAGTGTGTATGTGGGTCACCGGTCCCTGCAGATTTTTATTATTTATAGCCATTTCTATAAATACAGGACTTCACACAGCCGGTTCAGAGAGTGCTGTGCTTCTTGTAAACTGAATTGTTTTTATCCTTGCTATAGTCTGGAGGTAGCAAGTGCCAGCTGATAGATTAAGATGGAAATGAAAGTAAGCAATACACGTGATGGTGATCCTGCCGTAAGGCATGCTGTTTATTGATCTGGGAAAACACTGTCGTGACTCTTATCAGAGGGTTTTCAGTGCTATTTCTGTATTTGATACCCAAGGGATCTTTTTTTCCTCTGCTACCTGTGTTTCTCTGGAGGCATGTGCATGAAACATAGGTGCTTCTCTCTGCCGTGACCAGGTCTGATGACAGCCGGGTGGGTGGGAACATGTGTAATCACAGAAGAAACTTCCTGCAGCTGCCCGGCCATGTACTTCAGGATAAAACTGCTCTTCTGGCTGTTTGCTGCCATCGAGAGCTACCTAGTGCCTGAGGAGGTAGTGGGTTCCTTCTCCCTGCAGTCAGCACTGGTACGTACTGGGTAGGCTCCCCGAGCAGCCAGTGCTGTACGCCCCTATCAGTTGTTAGGCAAACATTTGCAGCTGGAATGCATGACATGTTCCTCTGATTCTCCTGTTCTCCACCTTGCACAGCAACACATTTAAAATACTGAAATGTGCTCTTTTGATTGCCGTTAACATTCAGAAATCTTGGTTTTGGTCTGGTCAGCAAGATAGGTGGAAAACGTCACTGTTGCATTTTGTGTATTAAAAAGGTCCCCATCCTTTCCCCTACCCCCCAAGCCGTGTAGGATCCAGACCTTTTCCCTCACCCCCCCATCTGTACTCTGTTTGTTTGTTGTTCGTTTTGCTGCCTCTTACCAAGAATATAGCAAACAACTGAGATGTGTGCTCAAGGCCAAAGAAAGTTTTAAATGGTCCCAGTTTATTTTTTGCAGCCATGCAGCATGGTACATTTTGGAAGGAATACTCTGATGATATATCAGAAGTTACTGAAAATGAGATGATACTGGTAGTAGTTTATTTTTGGTGCGTGGTTTGAGAAAGCATATACTCAAATATTCTAAAATACAGAACTATTACAGAAAAATGAGTGCAAGGTAAGGAGCATCATGCTGCATTTCTTGCTAAATGTATGTTTTCATTTCATTCAAACTAGAAAGTAAATAAAGACTGTACCTGCAAAAGAATTCAAATAGCTGTGTCTGTTTCCCAGAGTGAGCATACAAGCACTGGGGAGCAGTTTGCAGGATCAGAACTTCAGCCTGCTCTGGGTAATAAACCCTTGGGAGAGGAAAGAGAAACTCCACTTTTTTAAATACAGCTATACTTACCTTAATATTTCTTCTTAATAGATTGTGTTGCCGGTCAGACTCTTAAGCATGTGATTAAACTGTTAAAAAAATAAAGATATTTAAGGATTATTTACTGCATTAAATCCTCTTACATGCAGTGCACTCTGTTGCCCTGTGTATAGTATAATGTCATGACTGGTAATTTTCCTTTTCCCTTCTAGTACAAGGATGCATTTATGAAGGCGAATCCGGGGTACAAGTGGTGCCCCACAACGAACAAACCTGTAAAAACCCAGGCCTCCACTGTTACAAACAGGAAAAAGCTATGGGCCTTTGCATCAGACGCTGCAAAGGACTTACCAAGCCCGAAGAAAGTAACGAAAAGTGAAGAAATGCCACAGCTTAACTTCGGGATGGCAGGTGAAATTTCCATCCATGTTTACTCAGATGTAGCATCCTCTTTTTGTTTGGATGTGGTGTTGAAATCGAACTGTGATACCAGTTTTCTTTACTGCCCATGGTGCTGTAGTGCAAATAACTTTCATGTCCCAAATCAGGTTGCCAAGACTCTGCATAACAACTTTCAAGAATTTTCCTTAGTGCATGGTTGGTTTTAAGAGTCAAGTACAGTTATGTGGCATCATAACCCATACCCCACTTGGGGTCCAGATTTGATTGCTTTTTAATTCCAGCTTATTTGCTGTTTGATATTTTCATTTTCTAGTCAAAAAGGAAAGTGCTGACTGTGTGCATTCTTTTTCTCTTTCATAGAGCGTTGTACTATGTTCAGTAATTTGCTGTTTACAAAAATAATTTGTGGGTGTCTATGAAGTTGGAGGTGTTAAGAATTCCAGTTCTTGGAATTGGAATTTGAATTGGTGTAAAGAAATTCCAATTTCAGAATTGGAATTCCATTCAAATGCTGGAATTCACTACATTCCAGCAGTGAATGTACTGCTGGAGCTAACTTTTTTATTTGAATCAAGAAAAGAGTAGTTTAATTTCAGTTAAAACATGCACTTTTGCTTTTGCCCATTATACCTCGGAAGGGTGGATTCTAACCTTTTAAACATTTAAAAAAAAAAAAAAAATCAAGTCTGTGAATAAGTGTAGGTGGAGTGCCTGAACTGGTGAAAGGCAGATAATCTTGCACTGTTATCCACAAATAGCAGAACTGTTGCAGTCATGACCTTGAAATACAGAGACATTAATGTTAAATACTGGCAGCTTAAGAACCTAACAGTCAAGGTAGAAAATAATTTTTCCGTCACTACCCCTTTTTTTTTTCTTTTTCTCTTTTGCAGTTTAAAGTGTCTTAATTTTGTAAATACTGATGTTGAAACTCTGTCGTGTTCTACCTAGTTCATGACAATTGTGTGGCAGGTAGGACTTTCCTGCTTAGAGGAAAGTCATGAGCTATCCATGAGCTGGATAATGGAAAATGGTTTTATGGAACAAGTGTAATGGGATAAAAAGGCATGTATACCTTTTTGCAAGTATAGTGGTATGAAAATTTCTGTAATGAAACTCCTGGCTATGAAAGAACTGTGAAATGCAATCAAAATAAAGTTTTTTGTGCTACATAGTACAATATATGGGAGACCACTTCTAAAAATTGCAGGCCCATTCATCCCATTCTGCTTTTGCTGTCAGAAGAGTAACTTCTATGCTCCTATCCATCACAGAATGGTAGGGGTTGGAAGGGACCTCTAAAGATCATCTGGTCCAACCCCCCTGCCAAGGGAGGATCACCCAGGGCAGGTTGCACAGGAACGTGTCCAGTCAGGCTTTGAAGGTCTTCAGAGAAGGAGACTCCACAACCTCTCTGGGCAGCCTGTTCCAGTGCTCCATCACCCTCACAGTAAAGACATTTTTCCCCATGCTGAGGTGGAACTTCCTGTGCTGCAAAACAAGTAATAGGCTTTGGTCTACCTGTCTGCCATTCCCCTCCCACCCCAGCTCCTTCTGGGTTATCCAAATGTGGAGCTTCTGAGTACAGAGAGGTCTTGAATCAACACCTGTCAGAGCAGAAGACAGAGAACTTAAGAATTAATTAGAAACTAATCTAATCCATTGTCTTACCTATAGAGCCATTCATTTCTCAAGAAGGCCATTTTGTGCTACATGGGATTTAAACTTTTTTTTTTTTAACTGCAGACTGAGTCAATGAGTATAGTAATTCATAGGGGTCTCATTTCAGTCCTCATGCCAATGAAAGCTGGCTAATTCGTGAGTATAACAATACCTTATAAAATTACAACAGCTTCTGACAGAGATGTTAGCAGCATTCAATTCATGAAAAGTCTGCCATGCCAAATGGATTACTGTTTTGTCAACTATATAACCAGTTCATGCTAAGTATGTTCTGTTGCATTCTTCTCTCCTTGACTTCACGTGATAGTTCAATTCAATTCTGACTCTTCTATCCAGCACAACCTCTTTTAAAATCCAGGCCATATACTAGCTGATGAACTAAAAAGTAGCTGAACCTCCTCAGAAACACTTTCACCTTTGAAATGCCACTGTCTGTCTTGCATCTTCAAGGCACATAGTTTCCTTAGGACAGGGATTACATGATTCCAGAATCATTCCAGGAAATCTGTTTTACTTGTTGACATTTGTTAATCCTGTCTTGACTGCTTTTTACGCATTACACTTCATCTTGGAAAATGTAATATGTAGAGAGTAAGATCTTCCTTTCTTTTTGTAAGTTCCGCACAGGCCATATCTCTCCTTTATTTGTGGCATTCGAACAACAACCATCCCACTTTCAAACCTCTCGTGTTGACCTATCATTGTGTCAAGAACCTGAGGTGTGGCACCAGCACTGGGCTTCAAACCTGCAGACCCACTAGTGGTGTCCTTGCTCATCCAGCCTGGAAGTTGTAATTGAGCATGTTTTTCTCATGACATGGCTCACCTGTGATCTGTTGTAAGGCAAAGACAACTGCTGTTTGTAGGTGAACGTGACCATTGCAGCATCTACCCTCACAACTACAGACCTAAGTGAACAACAGCTTTGCTATACAAATGTGCAAGATTCCCAATACTTTCACGTTTCTGCATCAGAAGAAAACCGTCTGAGCTAAAAAGCTTTTTAGTGAAGCAAAGGGTGGAAAAAATCCGCTTCCTAGAGTGGGCAGTGTAGACAGAGATACAGTTTTGGGTTTTTAGAGAGAAGCTTAATTCTGCACCCAGGTAAAACTTAGTTGAAACTGGTATCTTCTGGTCTTCTTTCTGCTTAGGTCCTTCTCAGTTCTTTCTTTCCTCTGAAAAACAGTGATGATGAACAAGCCAGCCTGCTGAGTTTCTAACCAGACCAATACTAACAAAGTATGTCATTCCCAAATAGTGATATGGTTTTAAGTTTCATCAATGTTAAAAGCTGTAGAGAAATTAATGACTCACCTCCCATTCTGCAAGTCAAATGTGTGTGCTGTTTTCTCACTACTGTTGATTTAACTGTGAATTGCTTTAAGATAGCATTTAAAATTCTTAATTTTTTATACCAATAAGTTCTTAGTGCCATAAGAGAAACATTGTTGTGCTGAGAAGGCACTATAAACATATGGCAGTGTTTGCATATGTACATTTTGTTTTCCCTTAGATTAATTTATTTTGTAATTTGAAACCTTAATGGAAGGATTTTTGGTTTTGTCATGATCAGACATCCAAGTGCCAGCCCTCTGCTACATCTGCAGCATAAGTATTCAAGTTGTTTAAGCACCAAATTAAATTTTCACTTTCCACTTAGCTGTCATTTTTTTTCCTTCCTCTTAATTTTTATGTTTAAATAAGCAGTTTAAGTATTTGCTTACTTCGGGGGAAAAAACAGTCTTATCCTTGTCCTGTTATGATAAGCTACTTATTTGAAGGGCAGAAAGCTGAGATGACCAAGAAGATACTTAGAAGAGGGAGAAGAATTTGAGAGCCATAAGCTGGATGTTCTCCAGTTGACCAAAACTGAGGAGGGGGAAGAAGACCCCCACATAACTAAAGCGAAGCATAAGAGAGCAGCTGGGAGCATCAGTGTGATGTGGGCATGAGAAAGTACTGTACTGCAGTGTGTCAGGCAACGTGTTTTCAGGAACTGCAGAGAACAGTTAATGCCATTGAATAGAGCACAGCTGACCTGATGTGATTGCCCTGCTGATCAGTCATGTACAAGAAAGATGAACTCCACCTGGAATAACTGGAGAGGAGAGCTACAGGGATCACTGGGACCGTAGGAGATGAACGTGCTTGATGACATGAAGAGATCTTGATTTGCTTAGGCTAGGAAAGCAAGTGGAAGAAGAGTAGGGTGACTCCTGTAAATGCAGAAGAAGGAAATACCATTTAGGGAGAACAGTTATTTAATCTTAAAGATGCGGGCACCAGAAAAAATGTGTACCACCTGTCCCTGAGTAAATTTAAGCTGAAAACTGGAAGAAAGCTCTTAATACTTAGAAGATTTGGATTCTGCAACAGCCTTCCAATGGGAATAAAGAAAGTAGGCAGCAACCAGTCAAGCCCTTACTGCTTAATATGAAGCTCAGGAAGTTTATGATGGACCTGGAAGTCTCTTCCCATCTCTTCATCCTCCAAAACTGCCTCCTCAGGCATTATCTTTCGAGATACATGTTCATTTGTCACTTCTTAATTGTTCTGATGTCCTCGTGTTTGAAGGACTGAACTGTTTATCATCAAGTGTTTTGATGGTAAAAAGTGCTGTGCTGAGAGGATCACTTCATTTCTGAATTGTGCTGAGATACTTGCTGGCCCTTTCTGTTTTCTATCTCCATTTCTTCAACCACTTCTTGTTACTAGATCCTACACTTCTGATAGTGTCTTGTCTCTCTGTAGAAACTTAATATCTTTTGTTGCCTTTTTTATTTAAAAGTAAAAAGTTAAAAAAAAAACACTACAAAAAAACACACACACCTGCTACCTGTTTTATTATGGTAAAGGAAAAAATTTGATTCCAGTTGAACATTGGGTTTGAAGCCAGGAGCTATTTAGACTGTGTTCTTAAGATAACGAGCCACTCTTCTATCCTTGAGATAGTGGATGAGCCTGGTTTATTCACATTGCTTTCCTCTGCTTCTATTTACTGTGGTTTTAAGAGAGTATTGAAAAAACTTACCCTGTGAATGTCAGTGCGAGATGCTGAGGGAGAACACTTGGCAGTATCTGTGGTATTGAATTAAACAGCACCAGTCAGTATTCCTGTGAACCGGACCTTGATCATCTGTAGCGCTAAATTGCCTGGAGGTTTACAGAGGTTTGGCCCATGTCAGCTGAAAAGCTCAACAAATTCCTCATCACTGCTCATGAGTGGGAATGGGCCAGGGGATTTCCCAGTGGGCATTTTGGATGCAGCTATTTTGCATCCAAATTTTACATAACAAAATGCAACCAAATGGACAAGGGCGATTGTGCCAGTTGGCCTCCATTCCTGGGAATGGTCCTGAGCATGTTGTAATTTATTGTTGTAGAGAGAGTTTTGCTATAGTTTAGTGAAAGGAAATTGAAAAATGGGAGTACACACTTAGTGAAACCCCGGGAAAGTAACTTATCTTTGGTGTCTCATCATTACTGAAGCTCGGCAATACAGCAAGGGTAATGCTTCCCTTTCTCTCACATTGTGGCTGTTGTGTGAGACATTTAGGCCACAGACTGTCTCCCTGCCTCTGTGTGACACTGTTAAATCGGACGCCTGCATTGCTCCCAAGGCATTCCCCCCAAATCAGACAATTAGTCTTCATAATGATGAAGAGCAACCACTCTTCTGAGTGGAAGAGCCACTCCATGAGTAATGCAGTGCCAGTGATCATTGCTTTGACTTCTTGTTGTTGTTTTCTGAGCTGCTAAGGTGTGGGAAGGCTGGAGGCGAGAAACTGTCAGCATCGAATACTTAGAGAAAGAACATTTATATCTCCATTTCACTTTGCTCAATTATATATTGTATTGGCAGGGCAACAAGTAGGCGGGCAGCTTGCCTGGCCAGTGCCTGTGCTGTTCTGGCACAGAGGATCAAGCGCTTCATGCTTCAGAGATGTCAGGTTGGCACTTTTCACCACTAAATGCAGCTTTAAATTAAAGCTAAATGAAACTAGAAATTTTGCTTCAGAGCTTGATCGTATCCTTTTGTTCCATCCTTTTACTTGTTCAGTGGCTAAGGAAGGGAACCACTCCCTCAGTAGGAGCATCCATTGAGTTACAAATATGTGCAATATTAGAGCATCTTTGTGTATATTTATGTATGAGATCATTACAGTTGCTGTTTTAAAGATACCCGTCTCTGTAGTACATAAAACCTTTGGCAGTAAAATTGTAAATCCACGCAATGGGGTGTTAAGCACACAAATCCAATTAAATCCTTCAAACAGCTTTGAAAGCCTCTCCCAGAGGGTACAGAAATGGTTATTTGTGATTCTCTTGAACTGCCTTTTATGGCAGCCTGCTTAGAGTGTCTGTGACAAGTAGTCTTCTGGGGGTTTAACGCTGCAAATGGTAGGTTCTTAAAACAAGCAAATGAATAAACTTAAGTCTTGATTTTACTCTTTTAACAGATCCTACACAAATGGGAGGCCTGAGTATGCTGCTTCTAGCAGGGGAACATGCCCTGACTGCACAAGAGGTAAGGAATTCTTTCCTCTCCTTTACCACAAGCCCTTGGTTTAAAGAGACCTCTGAAGAGGAGTATTTGGCCAGTGGGAAATAAAATTTAAGATACATCTTGGGTAACCTCAGGTGGGACTGAAGTGTGAGCTCTGTGATACAAGTTTTGTATCCCAACCGTGAACACAGAGGAACCAGTTTTTATATCAGTTCAATATTAACTCTGCTGGCTGAATATTTGATCAGACCAGGCAAGTCTGCTCATGAGAGGATATTGTCACAGGTAGCAAGGTTGAAATATAGTGACTGTATTAACACATAGGTTTGCAATCTCTTTTGGGCAAGGATTTCATGTGCCTGTGCAGTGCTTCACACAAATGTGGCCTTGGCACTAATAGCAAAATAAATACCTAATAATTTCCATACAGTCAGTGTCGTTATATATGCATTCTGAAACCATGCAAGTGTTAACAGGTAATCCAAGTATTGCAGTCTATTCCTATTCACTAAATCTTTAGGTCTAAAAAGAAGTTTGTAGTTCAGTTGCCATCGCAAACATTTTGTTCTTGTGAAGGAGTCTAGTGTTGGTGCGTATCTCCAGTAGTGCAGAAACCTCTAGTCTGATTATTATTTATGATCTTATTTTTTGAGCCAGCTTTGAAAATTGTTCAAAAGGTGGCTTGTATGTTAGGTAGTCACTGCCATAAAACTCTAGTCTGGAAAGAAGAGCTGTGGAAGTGAGGAGGATTTCTTCTTTTCATTTTTTTGTTGTTTCTGGGAGGAAAAGCAGTAATTAACTATCTATATGTGATACTCCCAAATGCAAAATGTGTAGTGCATTTGAGATGAATTGCTTCTGTACTGCCAAGACTGAACCAAGTCTCCTCAATGCTTTGCACATCAGTTTGAGCAGTGGAAGTCTTTGTGCAGATGTGGGTACTGGCTTTCTGTGCTGCAGTATGAAAAAAGAAACACTAGGGTAAGCTTGGGAGAGAAGTGAAAAGAAATTGATGATTTTGTGCTAAAATGAGAATGTCCTGTAGTTTTCAAACTTTGACTCTCTCGACTTGGAGTTTAAAAACTGTTTTTACTGTGCTGTTATGTTTAAATGAGAGGGAAGGTGTATTGGAGTTACGGATACTCAATTCCATTAAGAACAGTCTTTGCTATGACCTTGTGAGTTTAGCTTTCTTGGTTTTACATGAAAAGTGCCTCAAGTAGTACGATTTCAGATGGCAATGAAGGAATAAAATCTATGTGGGAAGATCATCATTTAGAGACAAATCAGAAAGGATGTTGTGTGATTGTTTTAGTATATGAACGTTTTTTTATCGGGATTTTCTTCTTTTGAGCAAAAGACATATTTCCTATGCACCTACATAAACCCCATTTTTTCCTGATGGAAGCATGCAATATGGCTTGTGATGTAATATTTTCTTTATGTATAAGCTATACGATGCTGTGCTCTTTCAGGCCTGTAGTCTTCTCCTGAAACCTGGCCCTCCACATCAGAGAGGCAAGCTGTGTAATCTGCTTTCTCTAATGTGCGTTCTACATTTTCAAAATGTAGAGCAAAATATTTGTCATAAATACAGCCTAAACAAAACTAGTTGAGGGATTTGTTGGATGTTGTTAGAATCATGATGGGCCAGAAATTAGCCTGTACATACTAATGAGTTACCGTATTTTAATTGTCCTACACTATCTGAGAAGCAGGTAAGTGTCAGCACTTTCCTAGGGAACAAAACTGCACATCTCCAGTTCTTTCAGAGGGTTCACAATGTAAAATACATCCTCCAGAACAATCTGGGTGCTTGGTATTCTCAAAGGGACCCAAATGGATGAAGTTCAGTCCTCCTAATTGTGTGGCAGCAGGGATTAAGTCTCCAGCTGTGTTTCTATGCACTGGGAAACTTCCTCAGTTTCTTTGCATTGTAGCCCTGGTGTGTCTTCCATTTTCCTTTGTTTCCTTTTGATTCAGTGTTTCAGTGGTAATTAGATATGGAGCAAATACTTCTCAGGCTTGTGTTTCCCAAATGCAGTAAAGATCCTAAACCTGTTTAGACTTGGATAACTGAACAGCACTTCTGGCTTCCCATCCTCGGGCGTGCGGACAGAGGAGACAAAGATGTTCATCTTTGCATGCCTATGGGACAAGCTGTAGTTCAATATCCATGCTTATGCTTGAAAAGTTTCACGCTCAAACCAGCATTTGGGAGGTCAGCAGAATGCGCTAGGAGGTGGAATGAGAGGCTCAGTAAGAAGCTCAAGAATTAATTTGTAGAATTGGTAAGCTGCTTTCCTTTTCAGTGGAGGGGGTTAGAAGTGTTCTGTTAGAGTTGGTATTTTGACATGGGGGAGAATTTGGTGTACTAAGGTGACTGCTGAGGTATTGTCAGTGAAGAGGTTCAGAAGTTGCTTAACCACAGAAAATATAGTTGGGTTTTTTTATATGCATGTAAGTATATAAATACATGTCGTATAGCTAAAACCCTGGCATTTCTGTATTTAAAAAAAAAAAAAGATGCAGTGTCATTTTTAAAAGAATGCTCTAAATGATATCATGTAATCTTCATTACCATTAAAGCATGTGTGTGTCTACATGTAAGATGCACATGCATATATATGGTTCTTAAACTGGGGGATTGCCAGATGTAACATAACCTGTTAACATGCAGTTTGACTGCTTGTCCATATGTATGATTATGCAGACTTGGGTGGCCTTGTAAGCATAGATCTTAAATACTATTATCATCTTAAAAATTGTTAATAGAAAGGAAGGCAGCACTGGCATAGTTTGCTCAGAAGTTGGGCAAAAATGAGGCACATGATACTCTAAATCCCACCTAAACGTATTCTGCACCTGCTGATTTTCTGTCAACAGATGTATAGGGACTTTTCAAGTCAGGTTTTAAGTCTTGGAGTTGTCAGAAACCCAGATGTCAGGTAACGAAGTGAAGAGGCACCAGTGGGAGGACAGACAGAGGCACAACAGCGTTATTTACAAAATTGCCCTGAAGCTTCAGTCGCTGTATCTATATGTCGCCACTTATGTTCCTGTTTTTCTAATTTTTTTCAATAGACTAGAGAGTTTCTCTTCTGATAGCAGAATTCTATGTCAGTACAGGATTGATTTCCAAACAGCAGCTTAGAGTTACTAAGCAGACGGGCAAGAAAAGCTACAGATCTTACCAGCAGTTAACTAAGGACTTGGACATGCAGTGAGTTTCCACCTGGCTTTTGGGTCCTTTCATCAGTTACACAAGACTGTGGTGTGTATATGAGCGTATTTTGTTGAACACCCGAGCAGAAACGCCTGACGGGTCTGCTCCAGCGACTGCCGCTGTGCTGGGTGAAGCCCGGTCCTCCTACACCTCAGGTTTACTAGCGGAAAGGCTGAAGCTGGGCAAGGAGCGCTGCTTACTTGCCCGCTCCCCTCCCTCCCTGCACATCTCCCTTACTCGCCCGTCAGGCCCTTCGCTTGCCTTACAGCAGCACCTAGTGGCCGGCCTGTAGGTTACTGCCCAGAAATCCTGGAATGTGTGTGGTCCAAAACCTGGCTTTTCTACCCGTTTCCCCCCTTGCCACTGCCCGGCATATGAGGGCGGCATTAAAGCCCGGCGTCAGTCGGTGTGGGAGGCGAGCCAGGGGCTATCCTTCGCCTTCCTTCAGCGTGGTCCGAGTTAGAGCAGGTTACAGTAACCTGCAGGGACGGGGAGGCTACAGAAGCGTTACCGTGCAGTTCCCTTCTCTTTGAAAAGAAAAGGTTATCATGCCTGTGATGCCGCGGTCTGCGCAAGGTAGTATTGCCCAGGGAGTCAGTCAGAAGTGAAAAACCTCTGGGTGCAGCTGAGGGTAAGCCAGGAGGAGGAAAGAGGAGAAGTGAGGAGATGTTGAGGACATCTTATTACAGCAGGAAATGTATGCAGTGGCACTACCTGTGCATCCATTCCCTCCAGTAATTATTTTAGCACTTTGATCAGGTTCAGCCTGGCAGAGGTTAGAAGTCCTGGAGACAATAAATTTCCCACAAGTCAGGAGTGTGGAGGGAGCAAGAGAGTAGAAGAAACAAGCTCGAATTAGTGCTTCTGTCAAGCAAAGGCAACAGCATTAACTTTTTTAAGACAATGGAAATTGATAGAAGTATGGTTGCTTTAACCACAAAATCGCCTCCAAGTTACTGGGCACCAGCAATCTGTCCTTTACACACAAAGCTATAGGAAACCGGGCTTCACACCTCCCACGGCTTGTGGTTCCTGTACCACAAGGTGAAAAAGCTGTGCCCAATCCCCCACACATGGCTTTGGAGGCAACAAGAAAGCTCATCCTCCCTCTCTGTGCCCGCCCGGGGAGCGAGCGCTTTACAGCCCTTGTGTTGCCGGGGCTGAGCTGTGATGGCCCCTCTTGGGAGGGTTTCTCTGCTCCAGCACGGTGCTCCTGAGGTGGTGCAGGTCGATGGCTCCCAACTCAGAGCTGGTTTGTGCTGTGCCAGCTCCGGCGTGTGTTGGCACATTCATGTGGACGTGCCCCTAGATAGGCAGAGGGAGCTGCGAAGCCACGGTCTGCGTTATGGCGGGTGGGCAGGTTCAGGCACACGTGGCCTCGGGGAGCGCAGGCGTTTCGCACGGCTTCCTCACTCACGTTGCTTCTGCTAAGCAAGGTAGTGCCCTTTCGTAAGGCGCATTGGATAGGCTCCACTTGCGAACGAACTGCTTCAATACACACCACAAATTAAGCTGTGTAAGGCAGCTGGTGAAACTGCAGGAAATTTAAGTTCTGTGGGGAACCAAATCCCAAATCTGTTTATTCCTGGGAGAATCCCACCAGTGGGGTGGCCTGAAATAAGGAAATGAGGGCTCAGACATGCAAGCAGCACCCTTCTATTTCACAGCAGTGCAGAGACTCGGGCCTTCAGAGATGGGTCACTCAACAGCAGCCAGGTACAATGCATCCCTGGTACATTCCACACCACTGCTGAGGCACAGACGTCTTAAACCAGATCGTACAGAAGCAAAGCAGTAATAAACGTTACATAGCACAAACCACTGAAATAGCACAACACAGGCGTTAAAAATACATTCTTTGTAACCCTTTGGGTTGGTATACTCCCATAGTACACTGATAAAACATTGTGCTTGGTGTTTAATAAATATAATGGAAGCATAGATCATAGGAGGCACTGTTACTGCTTGGTTTGATGGCAGGGAAGAAGCAAGCGTGTGTGTAAGCAAATTGTCCTGCGGTATAGTTCCCTTGGCCTGTGAGCTGCTACGCTTGGATCTAGTGTTTCCAGGGGAGTATGGGCAGCAGATTCCTCAAACAAAACCCCACTGGTGCTATTGCAGAGCACGAGCGTCTCGGACAAACAGCACAAACTGCGTAGGCCTGGCTTTTCTGTGGTGCTTTGTGCTTGCAGGCAACAGATGCAGTTGCTAGCGAAATCTCATCTGTGCATTCACTGATAAATTGACATACTTGTTTTGATAATAAATAAGAAAAAACCCACACGTTTGAACTGAAATGTTTTAAATAACCTGAAATTTCATGAAAATTTTAAAATTGTTGGGGGGGGAAGTCCATCCTGCTACTTATCTTCCTAAAATCCTTGGAAGTCTTCTTTTCGTTTCTTGTAAGCCATGTCACATACCTTATTTTAGACTAACAGTACCTCATGCTCCTGTGGGAGTTACACATGTAAATCTTTTACATTCAAAGGTGATATTTAGTGAATTTATCATACTTGATACAATTTCATTACAGAATGATGCTTGATTAACACACTTCCGGCTAAAAGAATAGTACGGCTAAGCTCTGTGTTACTTCGAATAAGGCTTTTGTTTTTGAACAGTCATTTCTTTGTATATTGATTTCAGAAGTTATGACTCTTTCTTGCACTGCTGCTCATAAGCACCCCTAAATGGATGTTTAGGTACATTATTTGAACAATTTCAGATTTGTAGTACACTTTTCTTATTTTCATGCTGTTAGGTGGTTGGGGATTATTTTTCTAATAAATATTTCTGTCACATAGTAACCCTCAGTGTGTTCAAAAATTTCGTACTCAGAATGGTAGTACAAATACAGATAGAGCAGTGTTGATAGCATCACCAATACAAGGTAGTTGTGTGTGTGCAAAGTTTGGAATTATAAAAGGAAGAAGAAAATCCATGGTGTTTTTGTGGTCTTTCTTCTTAGGTGATTCTTAATGATTATTTACATGCATTAAAATGAGTGCTAAACTATGTTTTCTCCTATAAATTTGAATTAACTTGTCCAGGACTGTGAAACATCAGATCACCCAACTTTTCTTAAACACTGCTGCTTGTTATTGCTGCCTGGTATTTTGTTTTGATCACTGTTGTTCTTAGCTTGAAAGCAGCAGTCTTTCTTACTCTGAGGTCTTAGTCTGCACACTCCTTGTTTCAGGTTTCCTCCAGTACTTGCCAGTCTGATGGAACTAATTCTACGGAAGCCTGTCAGAAGTCATCATTGTTTCAGTTTGCAGAGGTGAGTTTCTTTAAGAAGGGTTATCTTCCCCCGTGTTTCCTTTTAAGAAGCATCTGATGTTCAGCTGAAAGAGAAATCAAAAATCTTAGCTAAAATTCATGCTTTTATTTGTTCCTTCTTTTGGGGTTTATAGTACTGGGTCATTTATCAGGTAGATAGGTCAGATTTGAAGTGCATGAGAGTGTGTTTAGGAGCATGGTGGAAAGTCTAGTGCAATAATGGAGCTGTGGTTCAAGCAGTAATTTAGACATGTGCCATTCCTGCACTTGGTTTTAAACTAGAGTCTTACTAACTAAAGTTTTAACATGTATATTTGGATGTTACATTATGTCCTTTACATATTGCGGCTGCTTTCATCATTGACTCTGTCAAAAATAACTGTAGTTCTGGAATATCCAGAATTTGTTCTGTTCTGTAACCACCAAATACCTCTGTGCAGCTATGCTTAGGTTTGCAGTGTACCACATTTTTGTCAGCATATTTGCAGTTATTGCTAGAAGTGCAACTGTGGTGGTTTTGTTCTTTTGGTTTGGGTTTGTTGTTGGTTGTTTTTGTTTTTTTAAAGTATACACTATTTCATCCAAGTTTTAATGGAATTAATTGATGTAAATAACATGACAAGAATGACGTTGCAAAGAATCCTCATCCGCTGCAAGCATCACATGCTTGTTTATGTCTTTCCGACTTCTGAAATGGTCATAATCAAGTGACATGTAAATATTTAACTGTACAAATGTTGATTGTACAGGATGCTGGGTGGTGTTTGAGTAAGTGCATGTGGAAAGAAATTTTGTCATAGCAGGGGCTTCTTTTATTACCTGTTTCCACACCAGTTGTGAATCTGACTCCCATGTCTTTAATACTCATTGCTGTGTGCAGCTTTATACTCCTTCCTAAACGTCATCACTTACGGTGCAGATACATTGCAATCCTAGCACACAAAAAATGTGATTGATTTTTTTTTGTTGTTGTTGTTTTGTTTGTTTTAACATCAGCCCATAAGACCTTGAAGTCCAACTTTAGTCATAGGCAGGAATTGTGTTGCGTGCTGCAAGATCCGCTCTTGCTAAGGGCTTGTGAGCGCTGGCTCTTCCTTAACCATCAAAGAACTTCAGCGGGTGCCAGGCAACAAAGCTCATCTGCACCACTAAAACATACAGTTTAGAAATAGCTCACTGATGATCAGTAATTAGAAATGCATATTAGCTAGTCTTAATTTTCAAGGATGTTAAACAGTTAGGCTGCACCTAACTAGTGCATGCTAGGCATGTGTGTCAATGGCAAAATAATTGGTACTTGTACCAAGGTATAACATTAATCAGGGGTGTCATTTGCAACAAAAGTAACTGACACAAGTTAAACAGTATAAAATGCAGTTCCCTTGGTGTTTGAGATGGATCTGGTATTTCTTCTTCAAGTACCTGCATGTGTTGTGTCCCTGTCCACAGTTAGTTTCTGTGCGAAGTAGCAATTGGTGCTTTATGAGCACCACCATTCTGAGTCTCAGATCTTTCACTGAACAATGAAATACAATACAGTGTTAAGTTTTTTGCTGCTAACCCTCTTTTGACGTATCAGCGGGCAAATAAAAGCCCCTTAAAAAAGTCTTAGCCTTTTCTATTGATCCTAGGAAAGATTCTCCTTGTGAAAAGTAATTAAATATCACCATTTCACAGGTCACCCATTTATATATCTCCTGGAAAGCAGATACTGTTTTTTGTATGGGTGTGCTGGGACTCATTTGCATGCTTTTAAGTACCAGGAGTCTGTCTGTATAATGGATCAGAAATTTAGCACGTTGAAGTTTGACACTGAAACTGAAGAGTTAGATAATACAAAAATAATTGTTCTCCTGACAGATCTCTTCAAGCACATCACAGCCTGGAGTCCCGGGAGCTGTAAAACAAACTGAGGAGTCTGCATTGTTTCAGTTTGCTGAGGTATAATGGCTGAAATATGGTGGGAGAGGATGGGAGGAAGCAAGGAACCAGTAAGAGTTGTCACTGAATGGCTAAGCACCCTGTCTCATAAGGGATTCACATCAGTAGATGTTTGTCTTCATGACAGCATTGTTTTAAGAAAATCGTGGGGAGGATAACCAGTAATTTGAAGCAGTATTGGCCAGTTCTACAAGCTGTAGCATGCACAAAAGATACTGGGCTTGTGAACTTTACCTGGCCTTTCATACCAAAGGACTGCTGCAGGTGTTTTTTTCCAAATGGTGTTTTAATTTACACCTAGGAAAAAAAACAAATAAAGGACATTCTGAAATGACACTATGCACTGCCTATGGAAGAGGCTGCAGCAGTGCAGAACAGCAACTGCCCTAGAGGCAGGAATCCTTTGCAAAATAAATTCGCAGGTCAAAGGAAGCTTCTTGCAACAGCTACAAGGATATGTAAGAGCATCGTTAGGTGGTGACTTATAAAGCCTATAAATTACCCATAAGTATGTAAGTTATCCTTCTTCCTCCATGTATTGAAGATCTGGAGTTCTCAAAGATTGATTTTAAAAATTTCTTCTCCCGTATGTTTAATGTGCTTCTATGAATTGACTTTCCACACGTATACTCTTCTTGCCCATTTGGGGGAGTCTGGTACTGCTTGCAGAGTCAGTTACGCTAAAGGTGTATTTAGGATGTCTCTGAAAAGACTGTGTTTGGAGCTGGTGCTATCATGGAGAAGTGTAACGGGATGAAGAGATTCCCTGGCTGTTATTCCATGTGCTTACACATACAACACACTTACTTCTGTTAAATGTTAAGCTAATTATGTACTGTATGTTTTTAGCTTGGCTAGGATGGGCCTTGATGTATTTCTTAGGAGGTCCAATTAAGAAAAAACAATTTACTGATTAATCCTTTTCAGAATTTCACAGGACCTAAAATCATTTCCTGTCCTAATTAAATAAACAATGAAATGACAAACCTGAAAATTGTCATACGGCTGTGACAGTGCATTGAGTTGCATATCACTATGCTGAGCCAGCTCATTTGGCACACTGAAGTGCATGTATGAATCATCAAATGTTAGGTAGAAGAGGTGATCAGAATGTTAATTAGAAACTGGAGAGCACAGTTTTAAAGTCAGGATTAATCTCTTTGTCTTGTAAAAATCTTAAAATGTGTGTGTGGTCTGGAGGGGGTTGTATTTTTTTGGCTGTTTTTTCAGTGTCTGGAAATAAGGAACAGAAATCTGGAAAAGCAAGAAAAAACCCAAAACAACAAAAAAAACCTTCTTGGCCATAGTTATTCCGTCTGTGTTATACTGTTGGTTTGAAACCTTAATGGCAGTGACTAACACCATGTTTTATCTACAGCAGTAGAGAAATGGCATAAAGATCACAGCCTGATTTCATTTCGGTTGTTGCAGGGGAAAGCATTGAGTATGCTACAGAACCTCTTTAAGCTTTCTCCTCCTGCTATTAAAGCTGCTTGTGCTCTTTCAAATATAAGGGCTTTCATTTGCACAGGGTGTCTTTGTCAAGTTTGGCAAAAATCCTGTTCCTTACTGTGCCACTTCTTATTGGGTCCTATCTATATGAATGCATTACAGCATTTAGTAAGCTAAATTATGGTAAGCAGTTTGTAGTAGGTTGCTGTCAGCAATGTACAGTGCTACAAAAGAAGAGAGAGGGAGAGAAAGTAGTTATTTAGCCAGTAGCCAAGTAAACCTGTGAAGAAAAGTGAAGTGTGCTGTGGTCTGATGTGCCTGGAGACTTTTGGCAGCCGTCCCAGCTCAGTTTTGGTTCTGGCAGGGTGTTCTTCATATGTTCCCTTTCTCTTTGCTGCCTTTGTGGCGGGGCAAGTAAGAGTGCCTCTTTGTGAAACAGCGATCCATTGAGTAGATTTGCCATTTAAAATGGACACCTTTACCCCAGGAGTACAAGTCCCCTGTCACTCAGAAATAGCTCTTTATACGTAGACATAGCATGGGATTCTTTCTTCTTTACAGCCTCAGTTAGCCTTTCATCTGGTTGTCTGTCCCAAGTGCTGTAGTCTTCAATTAAAACTGTTGAGGATATGGCTAATGAGGACTTGCACAACAGATAATGAAAATCCTGGGAGTAAGACTTTGCTGGGTCCTGCAGGTGCACAGGCAAGTGCCTTGGAGGTCTTCGAAGGTGATGTGATGTCCTCATAAGAGTTTTTTGAAATCTGGAGTGGTGCCAAGTTACGATCTTGGCTTCCTCATTCCACTCTGATCTTGGAAATTGTTGGCCCTACTTTTGTCCTTCTCATTTGTGTCTTTATGGAAAACCATTATACAGGCCAGTGATTTTTGAGCAGTTGGCTGTGTTCCTTAGCACAGTGGCTGTTTGCAGGCTGTCTGCTCACGTGGGCTGGTTGCTGTCATCCTCCTTGCCATGTGAGGGAAGCAGAGCAGATGTGACCCCTTGCTCTTTTGGTCTTATGGATGTGTGTTTGGCAAACGTGAACAGATGGTGATGACTGCTTCGTAGAGAAGAAACACAAGTACCTCTTAGATTTACTTAGCTAAACTCTCATCCATTGTGAAAAAAAGAAAAAGCTTCCTGAGAGTGGAAGCAATAAAATTACTAGTTTACCCATCTTAAAAACAAAATGAAGCCAAAACCCACAAACTCTTCACTTTCAGCTGCTTTTCTGAAGTTTTTCCTCTAGATGATTTAATGAAAAGGAATTGCATGCAGCATGCAACAAGGTGGAATTTTCTTCACTAGTCCAGCAGTTACTATCATTTAAGAAAAATGCATGCTTGAGGAAGATTTTTGTCCCTGCATTCTCACATACCCACTTTAAGCAAGCTTGTGGGCAACTCTTTCTGTTTATTTCTGTGCTGGACAGAAGATTGGAATCCAAAACTTTTGGTCAAAATGCCTTGAAATTGGGAGTGTGAGAGCTAGTTAGTATCTTCCAGCTTTCTCTTAAGTAAAGATGTAATCTTTCCAGGTAAAGCTATTACGTAAAATAGATGAACATATTTGCTGTTTACCTATATACTGAAATTATTAAATATCTGTGTTGAAGTGAAATGCCTATTCTAAGAGGGAAAAGAAAGACTGGTACCATGCCACATGCTTCTTATGCAAAGCTAGAATGTCATATAGTAGCTAAAATACTGACCTGAATGGTAATAAAAGATAATAATTTGATCCTAATGATCCCCAAGTTAAAACCTCTACGTAAGAAGGGGCTATTTGTGGTTGTAGTACTGCAGGTTCTGATTACTCTAATTAAAACTGGAAGATGGTGTTAAGACAGCCAATGAGATCTGTAATCTCACTGGTTGATGGCTGATGGATCAGCCATCCTCTTACTTCTGATATCTGGCCAGCAACTTTGGCAGAACGAGTTCTAAGTTTGTCTCATGCTGTTTGTTTTCTTAGCTGTGAAGAGAATTTTTTTGCTTAAGTGAAATCTTGGTTTTCTCTCTTTCTATTAGTACTACATGGATCTTGCTTGCATTTTGTTAGGAGCACCCATTCTCTTGTCAGAATGAAAGTCTTTACTCTGTCCTCACATTGTGCATCAGGAGGCAAGATACGCATGCATGTTCTCAGGTTATACTTCAGTGTGTGGGTGTTTGTCCCTTTTCTGCCACTCATATTGCACTGAAAAAAATCATTAAGAGATGAGAATTTATTACAGTAGAAAGATAAAAAAGTTGAGGCCCTCTTCCTGCAAAGTGCAGTGTACAAGATCACTTACTTCAGTGGGGTCCTGAGCAGGTTCACTGAACTGTCTCAAAGCAAAACCATTTAGTATTACTCGCCATATTTTAATTAGCTTGCAGTAAAATGGAGGTTCTGGATTTTTGGTGAGGGGAGGGAGGTGAAGTTGTAGTGAATCTCCTTGACAATTGAAAAGAAAATTCTTCAAATAATCTAGTTCAAAAGAAAGACATAAAATATAAAGGCTAAGTTGATATTTTTTGCATCTGAAAGTTCATGGTCATAAGCCTGTTTCTCCTGATGAAGCAGATGCTATGGAAACACTGCTGGTCTTGCTCCTAACCTTAGGGGTTTTCAAGGCTTCCAGATCAAATACTACCATGTAATGCCATGCCAAAAAAGATCAAATCTGAGAAATAATGATTAATTTTTGCATTGGTGAACTGATAATGCTGCACTTGGAAGCAGATCAGAAAAAATTTGGCTGCAAAAGCAATTCCCTGAAGTGCGGTGGTAGTTACTTACTCAGCACTGGTGCTGGCACACCAGCATCTATTTAGAAGGCTAGATTTGATCTCCAGAGGTAAGGTCTTACTTCTTTTTTCTAACTAAAGAAAGCAAAACAAGCAGTGCCTGTGAGGATAAACGGTCCTCTTCTATATCTGCCCAGGCTTTCCGCAAGAATTTTACTTAACCTTGACCACCACAGTTCATGTTTTTAAGCAACAGGTATGTCTTGTTCACTTAGTCACATAAAACACATGTAAGAGACACAGCATGATAGAATATTAGCTGTGGACCATACAAATGTAGAAGAGAATCCAGGAGCCTAGTCTAAGGAAGAAATTCTGTATTTGCTTGTATCCTGCTGACTTCTAAATGCCTGTTAAGTGTTTCTTGGATGGTATTGCCTATCTGAAGTAGGGCCTTCTGCCAGAAAGATCTCAAAGGAACTGATTTAACTAACTCCTTAATTTTTTTCATTCTTTTTCTCCCTTCCTTTCTGTCTTTCCTGTGTGTCACTGAAATACTTTCTCCTCTGTTCATTTAAAACCTAGATCTCATCAAATACTTCCCAGTTGTCAAGTCCTGAGCCAGTAAAGCACTGTGGGAAGTCGGCACTCTTCCAGTTGGCAGAGGTAAAGTTAAATCCATTAGCATCACAATGGGAAGATGTGTGTATCTTTTCCCCAAAAAAAGTATGAATTGTGTAAGGTTTGCTCTAGCATCAAATTTAGTCTTTCTAGAAGTACAAATTAGTAAATAATGGAATAATAAGAGAATTAGGCAGTTGCAATGGCCCCAGGGACTTAGCTTTTCTTATTCGCTTATTAATGTGCATAGTTTCTTGGAGACCACACAGAAAAAGTTACGCTTCTTTTTAGAAAAAAATTTATATAAAATATATTTCTAATACATATCTATAACATATAATATTATAGGAAAAACTGTAATAAAAACAATGCTCAGGACAATAGCAAAGACAAGAGACAACAGCACTCTTAATGAGGAGCTGAATACCGGGATTCAGAAAGTAGAGCTTTGGTATAAGGACTGGAAGGTGCATTGCTGAATGGGGACAAAGAATAAGAGAAAAGTAGACTTTGAGATCATCAGGAATCTGTATGAACAGAGTTGCAAGTTGAAGCAGTGGATTAATTTCTGAAATTGGTAGCTGTCAGCAGTAATCAAGAATACTAGGTCACGTTTCCCAACAGTCCTAGAAATTCTCCGTGAGCCTTAAATATACCTTGTAGAGGTCTCCCCTTTGATATGTATGAATCACTCAAAAACCTTTGAGGCTTGGCATGCAAATATTCTTCTTGATGATTGAAAGATAAAGATAACATGCTGCATTCCAGGTAGGTAAGGGAGGATGCTAGCACCTTACTAGTACACTCCCCCTGTCCCCCCCTGACCCCCGTCCCACCCCTCATCTCTTCCTATTTCCGTGAGGAAAATGGTTCTCTAGATCCCATCTAGTGGCATCCAGCGACGTATTCTCAGTGGTGAGGTTAATCCCTCTCAGGGAGAAAAAGACAGAGATTGGAAGCAGTGGAGTAAAAGTATTTCATGCCTTATTCCACGGATAGTAAAGCTACCATCTGACTTTATAGGAACTTAAATGAGTGGAAGAAAACATGCTTTACCCTACAGGCAGTCCCTAACAGCAGTAGAGTTTGTGGGTGTGTGCTACATTGTCAGCAGTGCTTATGCAAGGGTGATGGCATCTAGCCGTGATCTGTAATGGCATTTGACTATTGCAATCCTGGGACAGCAGTAAGGCTAGTAACACTTAACGAAGGACACCAGAAGTTTTGAGGTGTCCTCTGTCGCAGGACAAAAGCAGGCTTTGAGTAGTGGTGTTCAGAGTAAGGCTGCTGCCAAGTCCAGCCTGACTTTTGGAAGTCAGTATTAAAAGTTGTGATGTGAATGTGAAGCTTGTGAAACCGTAATGTGGGGGAAGGAGAGTCACTTGTCCACCGGCGTGTGGAGTTTGTCCTGCAGTTAGTGGAAAAAGTGAAGCTGAGTCTGGCAGCGTGATGTTCGCATGTTGGACAGGTTTCCATGATCTGTCCCTCAGTGATTGCTTAAATGGATTCCTACAAGCCTAATTTAGTATACAAAATGAATGTTAAAAGGCTCTGATTCAAACTGAGAAAAGTATGGCAGATGTGCTAAGGGCAGATGTGCTAAGCACATCCTCCTTACCCCTAGCTCTGGTAGGATATTAGTGCTATTGATTTTTTCCAGTTTTGGAGATCTCTTGGACTGCAATTGGATAAATAAAATGAGAGGTTCAGCTTAACTTTTCAAATAGCAGTTCAGGACCTGGTTTGGAGCATCCCAGGTAGACTCTGTTCACTGCCACCTCAAGGGTGTCCTGGGTTTGGAAGTTGGTTTGGCAGACACCTGTGCTATGCCGCTGTAACTCCAAACCGCAAATGCTGTGCACTGGAGGGGAGTGCACTGCTGTCTCCATGCTGCCAGCATGGCAGTGGTCTGGCGCGTGGGAGCCCGTCTGCTTCAGCACACCACACTGCTCTGCTCCTCCTTCGTCTCTCTGCTATGTGGATTAACCAGTTTTATCTTCCTCATGCCTGCCTTTTTGCTATCTCAAAGAGGGTGATGAAATAAAATGCAGAAATGGGTTAAATTATTTTCTGAAAGATTCTGAGAATTTCTAGGTTTCTGAAAAGCGGTCGGAGCAGCCGCTCTGCAGCCTGAAGCCTGGGAGGCTGTTGCTGACCAGCTCTGCTGAGTCTCTTGCTGTGCCTAGACGCGTGCGGTGTCCTCAGCCGTCAGGGCGGAGGCAGGAGCTTGAAGGGAGGCAGCGGTGGGAGCACGGGTCACCTCCACGAGGCAAGGAAGCCACTTCTGCCCCAGATTGCTAACAGCGCTTGGCTGCAAGTGGCATTTGGAGACTTCAGCAGTAATGGTCAAAGCTTGGGAGATGCTGTGAAGAGCTGCAGCTTCCAGGAGACCTAGAGATACAGCGCTGTTAACCTTTTTTGTTTTATTTCCATTACAGCAGTGATGGTTTGATTTCTGTAAACTCTGTAAACTTTGTGGGCCTGTGTTGGTTGAAAGCAATGAAAACTGAGTTTGGGGGGATAGAGGGAGGTAAAAGGTTGTAAACATTTTAGTTCCCCGGTCCCTAGAACTCCTCCTCTTTCTAAGGACACAAGTATGAGAAACCTGCAAGCCTGATCAGAGATTATGGGATATGTCCTTAAAAACAGAACATTTTCTTCTTCGTACTAATGGCCAGTCCTGAGACTGATCCTTTAAATGGTTTAGAAAAAGTCATTTCTTCGCGTCTAGCTCATAACTGAAATAAAACACTCTGAAGTATTGAAGAGGATCACAACCTGATCCAGGAAAAAGATTCTGGAGAATCATCAGCTACCTGCTTGGTAGACAGCCTCCCATACTCTTGAGGAGTAGTAAAGGTTACCGAAGGTTTGAGGGCTCTTACTTCACTTGGGTTTCATAGCATCTTTTACATGAGTCCTGTAGGACGCCAACAGGCAATGCCATATCCTGACAGGAGTAACCTTCTTCAGCTATGACAAAGAAATGATTTTGCAATCAAATGTCCGACTAAGCCTGCAGAAACACCACCAGCTGGGTTGCATGCTGGTGTAGATTGCTGCTTAGCTGCTGGAGTCTATGTGCGAGAGAGCATATGCTCAGTTCATCCTACTCTGCAGAGGGAGGCCTGACAAGAAGGTCCCCAAATCTGGAAATAGCTTTTAGTGTCCAATGGTATTATCCACCGGAGCAATGGTGGAGCAGGGTTGTATTTATAACAGCATGCACCAGGTCTGCACTTCTTTTTCAGTATATAATCTTATGAATGAATTTTGGGAAGAGGGAGGAAATAATCCATTCAAAAGCTGTGTGGTAAACGTAAAAGAATTATACTGGTAAAATAAGTTTTTCTTTTTTATCCCCCTCTGTTTTTTCTTTAGATTTCTTCAAGTACATCCCACTCAGGTCCTCCTGATTTAACCAAGCAGTGTGGAACATCAGCATTATTTCAGCTGGCAGAGGTAATACTAAAATACTGGGGACTAATTACCACAGGTGCAGTGGGGTGAAGAAGTTAATGATGTTGATTGCTGAAGTCTGGAAGGCAGAACAGTGCTACAGTTATAATTACACTGTTGTTTATAGAAGCATAAACTGTTGTGGCATGGGTGCCACGAGTCAAGATTTCCCCAGACTAGCCATCAACTCAGAGGTTTCTAAGAGTCTGTGCTGCAGCTGAGAAGTACCAGTCCCTGGTGGCAAAGGGACTTTCCAGTCACCATTGAAATTGTTTCAATTCCTTGTTTTAGGCTTTGGGTTTTGACTGTTTAGTTTGGCCAGGGTGGTGTCAAGGAGTTGAGAGGGAGGGCTGGATTAGTCTGTACTCAGATTAGGGCATTGCCATTACAAATACGTGTTAAAGGTCATTAGTTGCTTTCATTTATTTTTGCTTTTCATGCCTACTGTTTTTTGAAGTGGGGAGTAAACAGGTCAACAACTTCTATAGAAAGTCTGCTATGATACTCTCAGCAGATCCTCCTTCTGGGAACAGTTAAAATCAATGGCCCTTTTTTTGAAAAATTGTATTTCTTTTGTTTCCAAGCTTTTTTTTTTTTAAGCTTTCCCCATCTTAAAGACTGTGAATTGAAATTCTATTTAGAGCTTACAAAACAGAAGTGGTTTTTGTGTAGCCGCATCTGTAACCTTCTGTACTATTGACTACTGCAGAAGCAAAGAAGGTATAAAGAAAAAAAAAAATCCATGGGGAGGGGGGGAGTGTGTTTAATTGACAACATACTGTTACTGCCCAATGAGTTGCATTTTAAAGATTGATCTGTAGCTTTTGAAAATCGTAGGCGATGTGTTTTACATTGCAGTGCAGTACAGAAGTCTCAGAAGTACCTTGATACCAAGAACCTGCCTCAGCATAGTTGTGGGATTCTCCTCTGCTTCTTAACAGACACTGTGCTGCCCAAACTCCAGTGTTTACAGTGTTCAACCTAGCTTGACCTGAGCCAGATCAGGAGTTTCTGCCCTGTGCATCAAGAATTTTGGAAACTTACTACAAAGCCTTCTATCATTGGTGTTATGCTCATACATATGTTGGTGTAAGGTATTTTTAGTTGCAAGGAAAAAATGCCTTGCCAATTTGAGAAGTCAAAAATTGACCTAAAGAAGACCCAATGATTGGAGGGTACGTCCGTACTGACCACATGGCCCAAGGGCTGAGCTGTGGGATAGGGAAATTCCTGATGTCTGGTTCAAAACAAGCCTCTTCCATCTGGTTTTGCTCCAGGTGGGTGGTTGGTTGACATTTGTTTTAAAACAGAATTGCACTGGGAATTCAGCTTGTGGGCTTTGAGAGGGAGAGTAAGAAGAATGCATATCTTCCCAAGGGCAACTGCTCGGTCCTGTGAAGGACTACTCTCTGTAGCAGTGTCAGCGTAGCTTACAGGTGATCCAAAACCAAGAGGATCTCCCAAGTCAGTGCTGCAGGAACATGGCAGTTTGAGTATCTTTTTACATCTCTTTTTTTGAATATCGCTGTTTCTCTCAGTACAAGGGATTTGGTTTCCATTAATGTTAATCTCCAGGAGGAGATAACCATGACAACCATTGCTGCTTCGCAGTTCCTTGCAAAATAAGTCTGTGACATGAGAAGAAAGATTTGGAAGGCTTTTTCACTACCTTCCAAATTATTTCGCACATTTAAGTAAAAGAAAATAATCTCAATTACTGAGATTCAAGTACCCCATCCCCCCTCAGGGCCCTTTGGGAAATGGAGGAAAGAATCGTATATAAGGACATTTGGGAGTTGAAAGGGGTATGGATCTGAAATTTTAAGTAACTTGTCTGTGGCAGTTGTGAGAGATACTGTATTGTTCCATTGCATTTAGGGTATTCTGAAAATCAATCTAGCGGTGGGTTTCCAGGTTATATAAAAGGCACTTGAAGGATCATGGAAACATCACTGAGATCAATTGGTGTCTTTTTCTGTTAGAGTACTAGAACCCACCAGCCTTATTGTAGCACTTAGCCATCATCATACCAGTTTCAGCAG